GTTTTTCAGAGGCCTTGTTCATTTTTCTTTTCATTTTCCCCCCCTCTGGATTCTTTGTTTTTGGGATTGTATAAACTCCATTTATTTATCTGTGCTAAAGTTTTCTGATTTTTTTTTCTTCTAGCTTAAATCTACTGTTGAGCTCTTCTAGTAAGTTTTTTGTTTCTGTTATTATACTTTCCAATTTCAGAATTTTCATTTAGTTCTTTTTAATAATTCCTATCTTTTCATTAATATTTTCTATGTGATGAGACATTGTCATCATACCTTCTTTTACTTCTTTCAACATGGTTTCCTTTAATTCTTTGAACATATTTATAATGGCTGCCTTGATGTCTTTACTAAGTCCATGATCCAGGTCCCTCTCACAGGCAGTCTCTATTGCCTGCTTTTATTTCCCTTTGTAGAGGTCACATTTTCCTGTTTCTTTGTATGTCTCATATTTTTTATTTAAAACTAAACATTTAAAATAATATTGCAGCAACTCTGGTTACTAATCACCCTCCCCAGAGGATTATTGTCATTGTATTTGCTTATTTTTTAGTGATTTTGATGAGCTGTTTTCATAAAGTCTATTTACCTCACAGTGTGAAACCTGTAATGTTGTTCATTAGAGGGTGTATCCTTCAGCATGTGCGTTGAAATGACTGGTTTTAGAGAGGCTCTTCATAACTGTCTCTTTCCCTAATCTCTCTGTAAAGCTATCTGCCTTGATTTGGTATCATTCCCAACTATTAGTTTTCACTCAGTTGTTCTATTGGTTTTGACAATGCCTGGAGCATAAATTGCTTCACAATCTGATCCAATTAAACTAACGATCCTTGGCATGGACAGTTTTTGAGGCCAGTCTTTGACGTTTGTTCTGACCCCAGGATGGCTCTTTGCAGCTATTTCCCCAGTTCTCTCTGGCTAAACTAACTGTCTACAGTTTAGCTTGTTGTTTTTGTGGAGCTGCTAGTCTCGTCGAAATTGCTTGCCACCAAAATCTCCATTGCTTTCAAGAGTACCCTCTAGACTTGAACTGCCATGCCCTCTGTCCCAAACAAAATCAGTTCTCTTAGGGAATGCCTGAAGCTCTCTGTATTTAGGGTCTTCCTCTTCCCCTGAGCAAAGCCATTGAGCCACTGCTGCATGGTTGGCAGCAGGACAGTGGCCTGCCTCTCTAGATGTGACATGCTTACTTTATGATCAGGGCTCTGGATGGGGCAGTAGACTCTGGTTTTCTTGGCTTTCCTCTCCCACCATGGAACTTCTATTCTGCTGGTGAGCTGGGGTAAAGATCATTGGGGCCTCACTATTTCCAGCATGCCATGCCTAGTACAGAGTCTTCACCCTAGGAGTGGGTGTTCATTGGAGGAAGTGAACCCTCAACCTCCCAGCCACACTTGCATGGAATTTAGCTTCTGCAAAACAGAGCTGAGGGGCAATGAGTAATTCTGGCAGCTTGCCCCCCTGAACAAAATATTATATCCCTGGCCTGGAGCAGGGGAGAGGGAGCCCCATCTTCTTGGCCATACCTGCTCAGAGTAGAACTTTGTACATTCTGAGCTAGTGGGTGAAGAGGTGGAAAGAAAGAGTAGGTTATGGCTCAATGCCACAGACTCTCACTGTTCTTTTTTGATATTTAGTAGATTTGCTTGAATAAATGTTTCTTCCTTTGCTATATGCCCTTAAGACAATATCCAAATACTTTAAAAAGTTCTATTTTTGTAATTTTTCTCAGTTATGGTTTTTTTTACTGTGAAGAGGGCTTATGGAGCTCTTCATGCCACCATTAGGAAAATTATCTCCCCTTCCATAGAGTTTTAACCAGCTCCCACATTTGAATACAGTATAATATTTAGAATAAGTCTCTTATTCCTTATCATTCACAGTGGTTCTGTTTCCCTGCTCAA